ACGCTGTCCAGAGCACTAGGAGGCACTGTCATTCTGTGGCTTCTCTGTCACTATTAGACCACTCATAGGTAGTTTCATTCCATTGTCAGACATATTTTCTAGGATGCTCCCTTCTCCCAGAACATCCAACACACACAATATTATACATTGATTAAATAAACATTGATAGTGCATGTTACTGAATGTTTGGACCAACATCATTTGATGTATTAAATGTACTGTGAATTTTAACTCTATCACTGTCATGGTCATCAGACTAGCTTAAATTGAGGACTGGCTTTAGTAGAGGGTATTTCAACTGAAGTAAAACAGCACAGGAGGCCAAAGAGATGATTTCATAAAGTACAGTTGACTACATTTAGATTGCATTGTGGTTACATGGAAAAATTTATAACATATGCATTCCTCTTCCTGAAAAACGTATTTTCTAGAAACAAGAGTCACCATATCCGTATCTGAAGATGAGAAAATGTCTGAACCAAGGTTCTTTGAATACTGAAAAGGTCACAAATTCAAACAAAGGCTGTCCATATTAGCATACTGGTTTGGATCCCAACCATCCCTCCTTATCACACTTTGCTTTACACTACAGACAAAAAGGACAAACTTTCAGGTGCAATTAGACTGGAAGAGGCACTCCAGAAGCACACTGAATATGGTCCAGCTGCTAGTAGGAATTTGGTCCATGGAATCAGGCTAAAGTGACTCCATGGGAAAAATTTTCTGAAACACGCACAGTGCGAACATCAGGTCATTGGTACAAACTTGTCCTTTATAAATCTGCTGCAAACAGTGCACACCACTTGATAATGCAATCATGTTCACAGTCAAGCCGATGTAACAGGCTTGGCTTAGGATAGTAAAAAAGAACCTATGGTTCTTAGTAGTATTTTCTAGTATTATGTCCTGAAGCACTAACTATGTGTAGGAGACATCCTTTAAACACAGCAACCTCAACTACCCCAGGAATTACAGCCGTAGTCAGATGCAACATACTAAAGTTTGTGTTGCAACATGAAATAATAGTCAAAACATGAAAAATTAAAATAAAAAATACAGTAGAAGTACTTCTGTATTATTAAGATACTGTGTAAGAGGAGTCATGCAGACTTTTAAAATAATCTAGTACAATGTTTCCTCTGTATCTCTTCTTCATGCCACCACTACAACTGCAGTGAAAAAACATTCTTCTCCACGTTCTCACTATGTCAAAATGAGACTTATCAACACTAATCAAATCAGTGAACTCTTCCAGAGCTGTAGATCCAAACAACCCTTGAGATACAGGTTATGTTCCACACTCTGCTAGTACTCAGAGACCCTAATGGCAAACAACCTACAAAATTATTGTGGTGACAATGCAACAATGAACTAACTATATTTGTTAAGTGTTTTTTTTCCGTTAGTCTATGAAAGCTCTTGAAAATAATTTTCTTACTTAATTTGCAGTCTGAAGAGAAAATAAAACAGAAAAATAAAACAGAAAAATAAATTACCCAATCATAAATGATGCTACCATCCACACAATTTAAAAAGTGAACAATGAATTCTACACTAGTTGAATTTTTTACATGAATTCATTGATTTTTTCCTTTCCAGTTTCTTTTTTTAAAGGAGGAAGGGAAAAAAAAAGTCAGACTACTTGAGTATAAAACGGATGAGTGTTTGGCTAGAACAGTGCATTCCTTCAATGGAATGTGGTATCTCCATGATAAATATGCATAAACTTAACAGTTTCCTCTACTAACACATTACTTAACCATATTTTTATATTAGACTCTAATTTAATGCCATTATTAATTGGTATTCTATTGTCTTCTAGTCTCTAATACAGACATTGTCATTGCACAATACTAGTTTATACTTTGGATAATGACAGTCTGTGGGTTAATATATTCCATTCAACACTTTAGTAACAGTAAACAAAAACAGCTCAGCTATGCAGCAAAATCTACCAAACCACACAGATGGTTATAAGGTTTTCATTGTGTGGTTTCCATAGCAATCATATTGCAAATCTGGAAGCTTCTTGCAAATAAGCAGCTTGTATTTACATGCCTCTCAGCTGCAGAACTCTACAACATGTGAAGTTGTTATTCCAATCACATATTGTTAGAAAAAAATCATTGAAAGATGTTTTGATCAGTTAAGTTAAAAACCACTGCAGTGAACTAATTTTTCACCTATTTAATACTGATACAAGCATTATTACAATACAAGCATTAAGCAATCACATACTTGTAATGCACATTACTGTACCTTCATTTGAAATCTCACTGTGGTACCAGAAGGTTATAAGCATATAAACAGGTCTTGTAAGACAGACCCCCACAAAAATACTTGTATTATTAAATAAATAATTGGGGAAAACCACCCCCCAAAACCCCAAACCAACAGTGTCTTTATTATTGTACTCAGCAGGGAGTACACGCATGCATGCAAACACAAAGGTGTGCACATGAAGAACTCTGCTGACACTGAATGCCATGGGAGTATGCTGCTTTTGGGTAAGAAAAAGTAAAAGATACAATGGCATGGTAACATCAACAATATTACTCCTCCACACTGCTGTTTTGCTACCAAATAATGACTCCACACAAATGTAAACAAGAACTTTCAAACATTAATAAATGCTTACCAGGGGAAAAAGTCAAGACCTTTTCGCTCCCAGATTTATAATTTTATTAATTGACCTAACCCCATAACACATGAGTTATTACTCTAGTAAGGAACATAAATCAATCCAGCTATGTAATTTTTTAAAAAATTAGCAAGAACTGGCTTTTTTTACAGACAAAATTATTTGTTTAGAGAAACATTTAAACAATTAAAAGAAGGAACAATAAACACACAAAATTTAAGAGCACAAAATTGTTTTTATAATTTGGCCAAACTGACACCTTCTGCTAGCATTAGCAGTGAGAGCTAGAGACCATCTGGTGCCAGAGGAATAAGAATTAACACCCCGTTTTATGCAGGGCCAGCAAGCTGCCTTACCTGAGGACAGTGGTCCTCAGCCTTGGGGAGGGGTCCTCTGCAGTATTCTTACTTTATACACACCTGTACATGCCCATACATTTCACCCAAACTCTTACTGTGTTTTAGCCTAAGCAGCTTGATATCCCCAAAATCCTCCATGTGTTGCTTGATCCTAGGCTTATTTACCTTGGTGTGTGTACAATGGCAGGGACTTTCCTTTCTGGCTTTTTCTTTTAGACTCCAGATCCATTCTCTAGGGAAAGATCTCTAAATCCAAGTGGTAAAACTCTAATTTTGATAATCCTCCAATATTCCCACA